TTTTATTCTGGGCCATGCTTGGCGTATGACTGGGTACTATTGATTTCCACAATCCCTCGTCGATGATTATATTCGTCGTGTTTATTATTTTATTATAAAGTATGTCGCAAAATTATTATAGGCAGAAAAAGTATCGGAAATTAAAGAAGTTAAAAATTACTGAGTGTGATAAAATTAAGAAAAGTGACGTTGAAAATAACAATGAAATAATGGACAATATTATCAGTGTAAATAGCGAAGTTATATTAAGTCACGATGAAAAAAGTATTGATTTGAAAGACAATTCTGATCATTGCAATAATTCTATTAGCATTAATAATTCTTCATGTACAAGTGATTCTACTAATGTAATATTATGTGATGATGGAGTTAACGATGTCATTGACATAACAGAAAAAATTCGGCAGTGGACATTAAACAATCTGGACACTTTACGATTGAATGTTGTAACGGATTTATTTTTAATATTGAGGGAAGAAGGTCATTCTTCTTTACCAAAAACTGCTCAAACTCTTTTAAGTACCAAACATTATCGGATTTTGCAACAGATATATAGCATTAAAGATTCTTTTGGAGAATATATTTATATTGGGATAGAACATGGTTTGAACCATGTAATTGATCCCAACATCTTCATTGAAAAAAAATCTCTATATTAGTTCATATTGATAGTATTCAAATTTATAATAACTCACAAATACAAGTTTGGCCGATAATTGTAAAAATATTTCATGAAAACTATATTTGTGAACCTTTCGTTGTTGCTCTTTATTGTGGAGATTCTAAACCTCAGAGTGCATCTGATTATTTAAATGATTTTGTAACAGAAGCAACTCAATTAATTAACGAAGGCGTGACTATTAATACAAAAATATATTCATTTGAAATCATTGGAATTATTGCTGATTCAAGATCATTTATAAAGTGCATTAAATCACCCGGTGCACTCTACGCTTGTGAAAGATGTACTGTTAAAGGGATTAGTGTAGGAGAAAAGTTTAAGAAAAAAGTATTGTAGTATATCCTCAGAGAAATAGTCTTAAACGAACGAAAGAGTCATTTCAAAAACAGAGTCAAGCTCCCCTACTAAAAAATTTCTGTTAAGATAACAATAGAATTCCCAATTCAATTCTCAGTTGAATTCTCAATTGAATTCTCAAATGTGGTTTCTGCAAAAATTCGCATGTAAGATCTCAATTGAGATATTTCTGATATCTGATAGAAATAATTTATTGAAAATATAATGAACTTTTGCTGAAATGCTTTTGAAAAGCATTCACAATTTTAATCCAATTTCATTAAAATTTCATTATAATTTCATTAATATTTCGATAATATTTTATTAAGAGAG